ATCTAATAGATAATAAAGAACAAAGTAAGAGACCCGGACGCTCAATATATGGAATGATCTAAAATCCGGACCTCAAAGCCACCATTTTTTAAAAAATTCTATTACATTTTTGTGTGTGTGTGTGCTTTACGCATTGGCATTTGATTCTCCCCGCATAATAAAACATGTGGAGAGTACCGAACCTTAATTTCACTTTGGCACTAAATAAAATACCTCATTACTGAAGCAACAATTTTAGCGTAAATTCGTATGATCAGTAATTTGGCTCTGTAGCTGACTATCTGCTTGGCATACATCCCAAACCGAAACATTCTACATAGATATATCATTGATTCTATACCTATTAATATTTAATATCCCTGATGCCAACATGGCGAATCATTATTTATTATATTTTGCTTTCAATGCCGCATGTTTATCAACCCATGGCAAGTTGAGTAATGACTTGGAGCAATGCCTAAACATTTTTTTTTTTAATATTAGTAATCGAGAAAGAGTATGGTAACCTTTTATGTGGACATTAGGCTTGGCGATGATTAGAGATTTAAGTTAAATGCACTAAGAAATGTTGACAGGAAAAATTTAACAAAAATTTCTTTCCATATGCTAAAAGTAGTTTTTGCTAATGACACTCATAGGCACAAAGATTACATTTAGTGCTATTTGAATTAAAAATAACTGATTTGTTACTTACATAAACCAGTGCCATGGCTCATATGGCTGCACCAGGCAGAACTTAGGGAAGAAAAGGGAGGCACTTGGTAGCAGAATTTAGGACCCACAGAGACTGCATGAGGCAGTAAGAAATCTATAGCCGGCCCTCAATAAGACTTAAGTATATGTGGGAATCTTATTTATTCAGGACTCAGATAAGTCTTAAGTATGTGCAAGAAACAAGCATAAGTATAACACATAACTCATACAATTCAGGCTTAATTGTCTTAGTGCATGTTAGAAGCAAGATAAAATTTAGCGGAACAACTTGTCTATAGTCGCCAATCTCGAAATACATAGCCAAATATGTATAGTGAATGAAAGCTAAATTTTATGATGATAACCGCGAATCTGAAGGTTTTCGGATATTGCAAAACCAAAAGGGAAATTTTCCAACTAGCAGATTTTGTAAAAAAATGTGGAGAAGCGGTAATAAATGAAGAGGATGTAAAATTTCTTTGCTGTGATAATAATGCTCCTCAATTACCAATCAATTAAGGGATGGCAAAATGTTTAGCATAAAAATTTTTGATTCACAAGTTAGTCGGAATTCTAGACACAGCAATTACAGGACTTCAACGATGGAGCACAAAAAACGAAGCAACTTAGACAACTTGAAAGAAATGTTTAATAAAATTAACAAATAAATGTTAAGCTTTTTTTTTTTTTTTTTTTTTTTTTTTTTTTTTTTTTTTGTAAATTTTGATACCCTTTAGATCATAAATGCTTCATTACTTCATAAATCAAGCCTTCATATTTTTAATTTTATTATTTCTACATGCCATCTTACTAGATTTAAACTGATGATCTAATATTTGCAAAAATCCCAAATCCAGAATCGTGGAAGTCTCAACGATGTCAGAATGACTGATTGTTCTTGATGCAACAACTAAACAAAAAGGAAGCTTCAACTATTTCTTGACAATTTGCCAGCCAAATTAGAAGCTTCAAATTTTATTACAGGAAACTGTTTTTATGGCACGTTCTTTGTCCAACTGCTTGATGAAACAGTTATCAGTTTGCAAAATGTGTCAATGTATCAAATGCTGTTTAGTGGATAACACAGACTGTTAAAATCAGAATCAAAAAGTTGTGTTCAGCACTGTTTTAAGAAAGCAGGCTTTGAAATTTCAAGTTTTGTGTACCCTCTGTGAAAACACTAAAGATGAAACTGAACTGTTTGAACTTGTCAAAATCTGTGGTCATCCTCAAATCCGAGAATTATTAGAAATCTATGGACACTTGCATACTGAAGATGCCAATGACAATATCTTTTATTTTAACTGTATTTTATGATGCAAGCTTTACCAAAAATAACTTGGACAGCAATGAGGAAGACAAATACACACCAGAGAAAAAGTGTGACATAAAAACTATACAGATGCCTTAAAATATACCTCTCAATTAAAATAATTCATAGTAACTGTTGGTGACAGTGAATATCATTAGCGACTTTAAAATCCACGAGAGAAAAAAAAAAATGCTTTGACTCTGAAGATTCTGAATCTGTGTAATGGATTATTCTCAATATATTCCTGTAAGTTCAAATTTCTAATGTTCATTTTACACAACAATTAAAACTTTTTAATCAAGAATTTTCATTTTTCACTAATTTCAAATTCAAATAAATACCTGTGACTATGTGATGTGTTTATTTAAGGGACAAAATGTCTGGTTCAATGGGTGTCCCTTATTGGGAGGTACTACTCTGTGTGTGTGTGTGTGTATAATAATGTTTCATTAAAAACTAATTAGTAAAGTTAAATAATTCTCTTGCACCAATGCTGCAAAGAATGAAATATGAATTTTAAAAACAGAGTATTATAATATTCATATAAAGCAAATAAACATTTTAAATTATGCAAATTCAATTGCAAACAAAATAAGTTGATTAATTATTGCTGCAAACTAATTTGCAATCTCATTAAATTCAGAAAACATAAATAAATAAAGTGCAAGCATGTAAATACTAGAAAAGCATAGTATAATCCCAAAAATTTAATCTTAAAATTTTTTAAATTTTAAAAATAAATTTTAATCTGCATAATGTGAACAACTGTTGAGCAGACAGAAGACATATCTTTTGAAGGGGAAGTTGCTCCCCCCAACCTAACTCTTCTTACGTGTGTGTGTGTGTGTGTTATTATGGCAAAGCCTCGAGGGCTATCTGCCTAAGGGGAGGGATGCCTTCGTGGAGGACTTTCTAAGGGAAACTGGCTCGTATACACGTTGCACATGGGGAAAACCACGAAAACGCCCATGCAGCCAGCCCGTTTGCGGGATTCGAACCTCGGACCGAACTACCAGTGTTCAGCGACTTTACCGCTCGGCCGCTGGTGGGCCCAACCTAACTCTTCAATTACCCAATTTGTGCTTCGTCATCCATATAGATATGGGTTAAAAAATATTCCTTAAATTTATTATTAAAGAAAAAAGAACATAATAGATGAGGAATTCAATCAACTTCAGTGCCTCTGTGTCCGAAGGAGGAACACTGAAATCAATTAAAATCTCTCTTTTTCTTACTTTATGACTTTTCTGAGAATTTTCCAGCAGCTTAATGCACAAAAATACTAGGCATGATTATTATTATTATTTTTTTAAATGTTTTATACCCATTTAAAAAAATGTTTTTATATATTTTAAGAATAGTCAAGTTATTTTGCATTTGGATTATTTTTGTTATTGTAAAATAAATTTTAGGCAATCATCAAGGCATAAGTTTATGATTGAGTATACATTTTGTACATATTTTGTGCATGTGTGTGTGTTTATATACATGAGGATTAGTTCATTTTGGGGGTGTTACTGTTGGGTGTGGTGAATTTTGATAGTTATCTGATTGAACTACCTTTACTGTTGTTTTAAATTCATACAGTAACACTTTAAAAATGTCATTTGGCCTAATCCAGTTAACTACATTTTTTTTTTCTTTTCTTTTTGCATAATCATACACAGTTTTCTTCAGCCATCAATTCAAGTTCAGTATGTTCACATATTATGGCTCCTGTACTTATACACTATAAATAAAAATTGTAATTATCTAAATTTTATCTGATTGGTATTTTATATCTTGCTTATTTTTCTTCCTTCATTCAGGTTGATTCATTTCAGTTTTCTGCTGAAGATATAGTAAAATAATAAAATGTAAACAAACAATGACATATAACTAACTGCCTGTCTAAACATATAAAGCTTCTGTGGGGTACACATGCTTTCTTTGGTTTTATGTTCAACAAAAAATTAAGGTTTTTCTCAAAGACTGCATATAATTTTCAGGCCTTTCAAGCCCGTTGGTAATGACTATGATATGAACTCTGACAATCATTCCTAGCTACGTAGTTACAAACCTAAATTTTGGAAGCAGAATATTCCTGATATTGGCAAACATATAGAAATTTTTCTTCTGTCCAAATGACATGAGTTTTCAGTGCTTATCATCTTCAGTAATCATTTGTTCTAGTGATTTTTTTTTCCAGTTATTTGGTGGTTGCTTATGCATATTAATCCATTATACTTAATATCCTACTGAGAAGCCAAGGAATTAATTTTCTAATAGGGGGCAGAGAATTATGTCTTTGCACAAACCTTAGCAACATCAGTGATTACTGTCTGTGCGATTATATGGCCCACTGCTAGCTACCTCAGTTACTGTTCTACAATGTTTCTATTTAACAATGAAATTACCAATGCCTGACATGGTCAGTTTTAACAAGCTTGAAATATTGTGAACTGATATGACTCTTATACAGTATATGATAATAGCACAAGACTACAAAGTCATTGAATTATCTGTGCAACCCATTTTAACAGTGAGCTCTTCAATGCAACACACATAACTGAACTTTTCCGTGCAATATGTTTTTGAGAAAAATCACCTAGCTCCTCCTAATGACCAGAATCTTCTGATTTTGATAAGTGTCCTACCTACTTGTCAATTAGCATACGTTAAATGTCAGTAAGCTGGCCCATCAGGTTAGACTGAATGTTTTACTTCTAAGGAAAAACAATAACCATAACTGGAATACAAATGACACTTATTTGTGTCATATTAATGCCTCTTATTTATATTTCATGAGCACTTATAAAATTGCATATGAAAGTACTCCATGTAATATTACTGTTAATAAATATCTCTGAGTGCAATGAATCTCAAATTATGCAGATCTGAACAGTTTTGAATTCCAAACACAAATAAACCAAAATAAGAACAAAATAAAACTAAAAAATTCAATAAAAGTAAATTTGAATTTAATTAAATTGGAAAAAAGTGGGTTTCAGATTACCTCAGCAGGCTTCTTCAAATCCATATTAACCAATTTGTACATGGGAGCATTTTTATCAGTAAATATAGTAAAAATGTTTCCTTCGTTATTAACGTACTCATATTCAGCTTCAAATTTTTCTGTGACTATTGCTGTAAGTGGAAGAACACCTAAGAAATTTGAGAAAATGAAAATATTATCAAGCAACACAGCCTATTCTTAATATTCTATGAGAACAGCATAAAATTATAAGATACAGAAAGATACATGTAACTCTTCATCAAATATCTACATAACTGAATAAATTTTTTATCTATTACATTAATTTAAAAACATACATTACGAGTATATCTTAGCATCAAAGAATGTAAAATGAAAGAATAAAAAAGTACAGAGACACTTTTCAAATAAGTTTTAAAAGTGGTATAATTCATATCATAATAATCCAGAAATATTTTCAGTTGTTATCAGTTAGACGAAAGACGTTCACATATTACCAACAGAAATACATTATAGAGGTTAAATTATCTTCAGTTCTAATTTTATATGTTTTGAACCTTGATAGTTACAATAACCTAATAACCTATATACCTATATACATTATATCATCATATTTCATTAGAACTGGTTGCAAAGGAATTTTAAGCGAAAAAGTATTATCATCCCATATTTAAAGCTGACAAAATGCTTAAATGAATGAATGATATTCAGTTCTTGTCACACAAAATGTGAACATCAGCAAATAAGTAAACATTTATTACACTTAACAATGGACATTATGGATGGCCCATAAATATAATATAATCTTGGCATGGCAAAATCCTCCTGGAAGGATAAAAAAATAAATGAAGAACTATACTGTTTTTCACAGAAATCATGAATAAAAAAATTATTGCACTCGCATCAGATGTAAGGTATAATATTTTAACAAAAGTTAATTAAAATAAATACTATATTTTTAATAATGGTATTCTTCAAAATTAAATTATGTTCAATACGATATACTTTATTTACAACAGATGCATTCCATATATGCAAATTCTCAGTGTATTATCCAAACACAATAGATTAATACTTTCAGAAAAAGTAATTCCATAGCAAGACATACACCATAATCAGCTTATGTCTTCTTTTGTCTATAATCCCTCCATGTTTGCAGTTCAAAACAAAGTTTATTTTTGCTGTATTATAATGTATCTTATGCTTATTAGCCAGTTATTATGTTTTTCATCTTTACTATAAGTTCTTTTATCAGTATTCCTTACTAGAATGGAAATTAACTTTGACTATATTTAAGCTGAGGGTTTTGAATCTTGGAAACAGCTTCTGCCCCTTCTATTTACAGTTAGTTTTTTTGTCAGCTTTACTTAAAAGTAATATTCCAGCTTTGGCATTCCCACCTGCTTATGTGGCAATAAAATAACTCTTATTTCTTATTCTACTGAATGTGTAGTCATAGACTAGATTACCTACATTTGAATTTAACTGTCTGTTATCACTTAATTTATGTAGCCACAAGCAATGATTTGTCTGTAGCCAAAGTTGTGCCTTATGTTCATTTTTCAACTAAAATAAAACAGTTATTTTAAACATGTTGAGATGTAGCGATAACTCATTATTAGTCTAGTAGCATTTGCAGGACTTTAGTTTCCAAGTACCACAACATCCTACATTGGCACTTGAATTGTTTATGAACTATGCTGCAAGAACCACTCACTTTCACCAAAAGACTCCAATTCTACCTTGCAGTAGGAAGTCCGATGCAGTTTTATCATAGACAGGTCTGATGGTCGAACATTGATGTTGAACTATTTGGAAAATTAAATTCACTTTTTGTTATATTCCATTGGAGAGTTGCAAAAGGTCACTACAGCAACCGCTGCACTTTCAGAACAGGTCTTTAGCTGGTACAAAGGTATCAGGAAATTTTTATAAGGCAAATCAGGGAGTGAAAATTATAACTTTCAAGTTTTTAAAACAGCCCTTCTAAAGACGTTTGGTGTGGTGAAAGATAGGATGAAATTATAATCCAAGCTTTTTAGTAAATATCAGACCAGAGACTGTATTCTTCTATCGTGCAAAAAGATTTTGATACGAGAGTGACGAAGAAAGCGACCCATTCTCATTCGACTGCTGCTAACACACAATCGTGACATAGTATTCTCAAGAGCCCATATCAACTGAATCATTAAGGCTTTAAAATGTGTCTGTTTTTCAGACAGCTTTCTTTAAATACAATATGAATTTTAAAAGTAAAGATTATTTTTTTAGGTAACTTCTTGGCAACTGGGGGCGTATGTGGAAAAAAAAAAGATTTCTCTGGTAAATCAATACCAGAAAAGAATTGCAAACCAACGAGAAAAGAAATTTAGGGAAACTGGATGTACACATAAATTCTGATGGCTAGGTTCCATAAAAATCCTTGAGCAATGGGAGTGAGTATATGCATCTTTACCGAGAGATTACGTCCTTAACACTTCCTGTACTTACATAAACAAACATCAGTTGTAGATTTGGTAGTTGATATAGTTGATTGTGCCAAAGCACACTAGAGCTATCTGCCTAAGAGTATGGATGCCTTCGTGGAGGACTTTCTAAGGGAAACTGGCTCGTACACACATTACATATGGAGAAAACCATGAAAACACCCACACAGCCATCCCATCCGCCTGGAATCAAACCCAGGTTATAACTACCAGTGTAGTAGCTCTCTGGTAGACACATCTGTTGTAGAAATTCAGGTACCTTAGATATTATTCACAACAACAAAAAAAAAAAAAAAAAAAAAAAAAATGCAACATGATCCTTTACTTCTTGCGATTTACTTTCATTGATATTAACTTCTATTATGAATTTCTTTACAATGACTGTGTGAGTATGAAATAACAAAATACAATTCTGTTTATTTGCAATTAAGGCACTTTGTTTTCTCACAGAATTTGTTCTGTAAGTGAATTTTGTATTTTTTTAAAGTGTTTGGAACATCACTGAAGTTAATAAACTTCTCTGTCACCAGAAAATATCTACATTTAAAAGAACATTTCTAAAATTCCTTCGAAATATACAGTGATTGGGGAGGTTACTGAAGTTCACAAAGATTTTAAGTCCACAAAAAAATATCTACAGGGTATCAAAACAAAATATAAAATTTTAAATGGGACTTCAATTGTAGATGCTATGAATATAGCAAAAGATTACAATGCAATCTGATAAGTTCAATCAACAATTTATATACAAATGGAATCTATATAAATTCCATTTGTATATAAATTTATATACAAATGGAAATAGTTAGGTGTAGGTGTCAAATTGCCAAACATGGCTTGTGAGCTGGCAAAATCATTTATTATATCCCTTGTTCTTAATCAGTGTGGCAACTCTGTAAACATGTGTTGTACTCGCCAACCGCGCGACGTTATCACTAACTGTAACCGAAGGTGATTTCAGTGACACACAGTCATGTCGCTCTTTTTCCTCCAACGTGATTGTCTGTCGACTGTAGTAATTAAGTGTTTTTAATGATCTTGCCCATGGTTAACATATAAGTACTATAAAATCCAGTTCTGAACAAAGCAATCATATAAGTATATTCATCCAGGTTCGTAATGGATTTAATAAACACAGAACTGATGATAGCTTTATAAAATTTATTTTCCAAAAGAAACACTTTACAAATCTGGTTGAGAAGAGCTGCATGAGTACTTTTTCCACAAAAGTACTCATGCAGCTCTTCTCAATATGACAGAGCATAAACTACTAAGAACTACTATTTCAAACTACTAAGAACATTAAATACAATGCTATGCAAAATTCATCTAAACAGCCAATCTCACACAGAAGTCTCTCAATACTCTGAACTAAACTCAGAACTGAAGTGATGCTCTCTTCAGCCTTAGGTAGTTTTCTGTCCACCGAGAAATTTCCAGTACCTTCAATATCTGAAAATTGCTGGAAGGCATATGCAGTTACAGATACATACAGAGCCGGATACAGTAACAGTTACACATAAATTTATTAGTTATGCAGAGATCAGGCAAAAATGTTGTAAAGACCTTATTTTAATCAAACTAATTATTTTTAGTTTAAGAAACTTTCCTTTCCCTTCTGATTTCAATTTCCTGCTAGAATGTAAATTTAATTATGTATATCCAAATCTAAGTGAGTTGGAAACAATAGTTAAGCAGCAGTTTTAAGAGTTCGCAGTACGAGAATTAGTTCCGAAGTTATGATGCATGATTGAAGCAGCTCTGTAAGTAAATAGTAGTTAGTGCCATCCACTTTCTTTAGATTATATATATATTCTACGCTCTGCTTTGCTGTGTGCAGCCAATTTAGCTGTTTAGATAAGGAGACAGTCATGTAGCTGATCCTTACCTTATTGTGATTGAACATCCTACTTTCTGTTCAAGTTACTTAACCACAAACAGTAGTTAAAACGTGGGCACCAAGTGAGTACATTTTTGCTCAGTTTAGTTAAACATTTTTGCTTAGTTAAAAGTTAGTCAGTTTAGTTTAGTTAGTTATTATAACCTACTTCTGCCGTCATCTGTTCTTTCAAGACCTAGCGAGAATTTGCTACCTAGTCTTTCAGTAGGGTCTACCAGTGGATGATCCCAAAACACACAAGACTCTACAGTGTCACCAAATGATCAGCAAGTTTTGCGAATTTTGAGGATTTCTAGCCAAATTTGGGGACAAGAATTAGCAAAACTGTCATCAGCTTGGCACAACAATGTTTATGTTAAATGGACTAGACCCTGTAACCTTACTTTTCTGGCAGTTTCACTCTCTTCAGGCCTTTCATGTTTCATTATACATGAGATACAAAAATTTTACATAAGATTTCACTAAAGTTACATACAACGCACAAAATTTGTAACAACAATAATAATTCTTGCTTTAATCAGTATTAAGTGTCTTCCAACTGCATTGTATATTAACTTCTGGTTTTTTACATTGCATGTTTATGTACATTCTCCACTATTCATATTAAAAGTTCAATTACAATGATGCATTTAAAGGAAAATTTGTTACATAACATTTTTCGAGATAATGGACACACACCTGATCTATGATTTATTATACAGTAATGATTCAAATAAAATGCTGGGCAAATTATTTGTTTATGAAGACTCACAAATTTGTTGATGAAGTTAATTTTTATAACTTC